CAATGTGAATCTCTAAAACTGTCGTCAGTGACCTTACTAATTTCATCATTCACTTCCATAAAAAGTTTAATTTGCGCATACTGGTTACACGTGGGGTTTCTTGTTCGATAAATCACGTTTCAAGTATGCCCTTCCATATATCGATAAAGAAATTCTGTTTTTTTTTGTTTATTCAATGATTCCCATAATAAGAAAATTGCGCTCAAAAGAAACCTTTATGGCGTAATTACCCGCAACTACGCGAGCTTACACGTGATCGAGCGAGTTGTTAGTTGACGGGTCAGAATCGGTTCAAATAGATACGGGATATTCCAACCAAATAATCAGTACCGGTTATTTTACAATTTTAAAATATTGAAATCAGTAATTGGTACATAAACAATCAAGTCAATACCAAGAAGGCATTATCGTTATCAGCTTTCTTTCCATATTATCATTGGCATTTCGGGCCACGCATTATTATCGAACTCATACATGAAGGTTCGGTCCAAACAAATACTTTTTCCAAATTAATCTAGTGCCCTGTGTGTAGAGCTACTCTAAAAAAGGTCTTGAGATTTGCATTTTTTTCTCGGCAACCATAAGGGTTACAAAGACGGATCTTTGAATAGGTGTTTGGGTAGACCTTTTCCGAGTTTTTAACATGCGAGTATTTCGCAATGGTGGGTTAACTGGCGCTGCTTTGGCTCAAACCCGTGTTTACAGGGGTTAGAAACCTTTCTTGTGGAAAATGTATTTTATTATCTCCGGCATAGTAAAAATTTTACTGTAACAATTCATGAATCTCCTTAGGAATGACTAAGTGCACATTTTTTATACAGATTCCTCAAAGACGGTTTAGTTGAAATATTCTCCCATTCACAACTGATTTTCTCCTTTGGAAGGCAGCAGCTATTTGCAAATTAGGTGATGGAACGCCTTGATCTGGTTACTCATGAAAGTGAAACTCTCAAAATGATTGACGAATTTGAAATCGGCACAACCGAGTTTCATGTACTTCACAATTTATTAGTTCTAATTTAGTTTATTTATGGGAACAAATCCAGTATGGAAATGTCCAAAATTACCCTTATTACTTACGGTTTGCATCTTCCGAAAGCACAAATTAATTATTTTTAACCTTTTTACCTGTTGCCGTATTATTTATATTATGAGCCCTTCGTATAAACAAATTAGATGCCCAACCTAATGCTCATTTGTGATTCTTACATTTCCATCAAATCTTCGAACTCTAACCATTTCGAAACTAGATCCTAAACTAGAGCTACGGACTACGGACTAACCGGTAGAAAATATGGCAATATCCAAAAAGATCGAAAACATTCCATCTAAACCAAGCTCATACCTTCTATAGGACCCCCCCCCCCTCCCAAACACCGGAAGGGACAGCTGGGTTTTTCAGCTCACCCGACGAATTCGCAAGAAAGCATTCAAAAATAAAAACTTTTTTAAATAATTTCGCCGGTTCCTGTCGTCATAAAAATATAAGAATAGTCTTAAAATTCATGTTAATTAAGCGCGTTTCATGTGACACCCAACACATGTCATACGGATGATGTATACTACAACACATTTACTTAACTAGGGTTAATTACACCCACTTTATTGACCGAGCTGAAATTTCTAAATTCGATAATCTAATTAACACCTATTGTTACATAGAATTTTAGGTCAATCGTAAAAGGTCTGCGATAATGAGATAACTGCACGGCCTTACGGTTTTAATGCTTGATTTCGCTTAACATTGGGAAACTAAAATCGGTTAATAATTATTTAACGGAGCTGAAATCATACTACTATATTAATTTTCTTTCCTCCTCCAATCAAAGGGAGGCTGTAAAGATAATTTAAATATCGCGACGGGAACGGTTACAAACGGCAAATTAGTTACAGAAGCTGGTTTTCCTTCTCGGTGGCAAAAACACGGCTCTAGAAATCAAAGCAATTGCTTTTATCTTAAATACCCATGTGGCTTTGCACATTTTAAATAGTCATATCTGATTGCAGTGTTAAGAGGCGAGGGAGTATACATTTGCATGTTTTCAAGCTAACAAAGTTTTTCTACCATGGATCAAATTTTTACCAACGACAGATTATTTTTAAATAAAAGGTCGAATTTGTCTCACGCGTCTTTACGTATCAGTTATCATTAACGATGTTGCTGGAGAAAAACTGCATAAAGCGTTTAATTTCAGTGGCCAAATGCGAGTTTTTCAATCCCGGCGGCTCCGTAAAAGACCGGATTGGTTTTCGAATGGTAGAAGATGCCGAAAAGTCGGGCGCACTTAGACCGGGTTTCACAATCATCGAACCCACATCTGGAAATACCGGCATCGGATTGGCTATGGCGAGCGCGGTTAAAGGTATAAAGATGACCTTTAACAGTTATGTTGAAATAAATCTATTCAGGTTATCGGTGCATTATTGTGATGCCTCAAAAAATGTCCAACGAAAAAGTGAGCGTTTTAAGATCTTTGGGAGCTGAGATTATTCGTACACCCACCGCTGCCTCTTTTGATTCACCCGAAGGACTTATAGCGGTGGCTCAAAAGTTGCAAAGGGAAATACCAAATTCGATTATCCTGAACCAATATTGTAATGCGAGCAATCCATTGGCGCATTACGATTTAACTGGCGCGGAAATATTCGACCAATGTGATGGGAAGATCGATATGGCTGTAAGTATGCCATGTGTCCTAGCACTTTTTCGAGGATTGTACTTTCTATAAGTAAAGGAGAGAGATCAGTTAAAATGGTTTGATTGTAGATTGTAGGAGCTGGCACAGGTGGCACTGTAACGGGTGTTGGCCGTAAATTAAGGGAATTGTGCCCGAACTGCATTATCGTATCAGTTGATCCTGAAGGTTCCATATTGGCCGAACCGGAATCGCTTAACCAATCCGACACTACATTTTATGAATTGGAAGGAATTGGATACGACTTTTTACCAACCGTTTTGGATCGTTCAGTTGTTGATAAATGGTATAAAGTTGCAGATGTTGATTGCTTCAACATGGCGAGAAGGTTAATAAAAGAGGAAGGATTGCTGTGCGGTGGAAGTAGTGGAGCTGCAATGACCGTCGCATTGAAAGCCGCCGCGTCATTACGCGCCGATCAAAGATGCGTGGTTCTGTTACCGGATGGAATACGAAATTATATGACTAAATTTGTGTCGGATCATTGGCTGGAAGCAAGAAACTTTAAACCAGTTATCAATGAACATGGTCACTGGTAAGTATCAAATATATAATTTTAGTTCTCAGCAATGAGATGTGGATGATTCTGGAGTTTGAGAGATAGTGTAGTGCCCTTGGAACATCTTTGCGGTGCCAAGCGTCCCATCCCATTCTTGGAGAAAACGTATCACTTATCACTTTTTGTGTTAACGTTTTTAAAGTTTTTATGTGATTTTAAACATGCTAGGTTGTTGATTTTAATTGTTTTAGGTGGTGGGATGAAACTGTGGCAAAATTAAAGATTGAACGTAATTTTACCATCTCATCCAAACTTACATGCAGCGAAACTATTTCCCTGATGAAGCAAAAGAATTATACTGAAGTTCCAATTATAGATGCCAACAAGTAAGTGCGGACATATGGCACGTTTGCAAGCTTACGACATAGAAAAACAGCCCAAAGAAAAATCTTTCATTCATAAAACATCATGATACTCTTAGCGGCTGTACTTCTCTTTCCTTAAATTCTGGACACAAATTTATTATTCTCTTGCAGCACATTTTTGGGAATGGCCAGTATACCATACATCATGAACATGTTGATGACATGCAAAGTGAAACAAAACGATTTAATAACTGAAGCCATACAGATGCAGTACCGATCGGTAGCCCTCAACTCTTCATTGGGATTATTATCTCGTATATTGGAAACTGAACCGTATGCGCTTGTTGTCCAAGATGAAGCATGTTGTAAGTCTCATTCACAAATAACATTTGGTTTTGTATGCAACACACCCTTTCTCCTTTGATTGATGGGTTGGGTTGTTGCTTACCAAGTTTATTTACTTTGTTTGTTTCTGTGAATATACTTTTTTTTTAATTTTTAGTGCGCCCTAATGCAGTTATCAAAAAGGAAAGTGTAAAGGGTATCATTACTACAGTTGATTTGCTCAATTATATAACTACTATGGCGAGTGAAAAAAGCAATCAAGTAAATGGGTCCATATAACAAACATTCGCTAGGGAACAAGAAATGTGCATTCAATTTTTATCAATAATAAAGATTATACACTGCTTACTTTTGATTTATGTGCATTTCCTTTAGCAGGTGTCTGATGGTTTAGATCTCTGTCATTACTAAAATCACATGGTCAGTTACAGTTTTAACATACAAGATACTCATTATGTATGGTATATAGTAGATATTTCAGTAAATATCCCAAGTGTACAAAATTTTTCTATATGAAAGTTTTTTAACATTTTTTTCTCCCATAATAAGGCAGCATTCAGTTGTTGTTATTTCAGAAAACAAATGACTAACGAAAAACAATTGAATTTTTATAAATGACAGTGCACATTTTCATTAAGCTTTATTGATAGAGATCTCTTTTTGATGATGTACATGTTACTACCATCATTTGAATACCTATGATTACTTATTCAATGCTACCACACAAGAAAATTTTTCGAAAAAAAAAACAATCGCATCAATAACATTATACTATCCTACACCAAAATAAAACAAATCGACGTGTAGGTACGTGTCTTACTGAACCGTGAAGACAAAATGAAATTAGCAATAAAATGGTAACAAACGTACACGGCGCATTCATTTGTTTTCTTTGATGTAGGATATCTAGATTTAATGTTATTGATGTGGTTATAAGTTTTGTGAAAAATTTTCTTGTATCTTAGGTACTAACATGTTAAATCATCCAAAAGAGAAAAGCAATGTATCAAATGAGCCTAATGAAAAGGTGAACTGCCATTTAAAAAAATTCAGCTGTTTTTCGTTACTACTTATTTGTTTTCTAAAATAAAAATAACTGAATGCCGCCTTATTATGGGAACTTTCATAGGCATATAAAAATTTTGTATACTTACATTCGATATTTAGCGAGATGTATACTATATTCCATACATACTGCTTTCCATTTGAGTGAAAGAGGAGCTCTGAGCTGTACCATGCAAGATGTCCTGTGTTCCTTTTAAGAAAGTTTCAAGCTCTGACGCGCTCGAAATTGGATTTCCCTTGTCTCTTCATGCACCACCTATTTGCTTGGGGCTTGAAACACTTTTGTGGTTATTTACGTACTGTGAATATCAATTCAAATGTGTGCAAAATGAAGAACTTGCAAAACGAGCTGCTCCGAACGAACTGCATCAGAGCTTCACGCACTCAAATGGAAAGCAGTAATAATGGGCACCCTTCTATGCAATATGTAACAAGCCTATTGAAAATGGGTCAAATCCAATGATCCATACCACTTCGAGGGGCTCTGCCGCTTTTTTAGATCCATTTTAGGGGTTCATTCCTCCTTAAAGATGAACAGACAGGTGGCACGTACAGGGTGGGGCAGAGGAACTTGCTGATTTGTATTCGGCCTCGGCGCCCTTGGGCGACGGTTGCTCCGACAAAAGTGGGAATAGGTATATTTGAGAGAAGGGCATATAAAGTTTTTCCGCCGCGTAGTGTCGTCACCATCAGGGGGTGGACGAAGACGGAACGCCCCTTCGCCGTCGAGGCATACTTTGCTAACGGTCGCTCAGTCATAGCCACGCAACGTGCATTCCGTACTCAGTGATTTCGAATATTGCCACATTTAGTAGATAGGGGTGCGTTTTCATTTTGCTTTTTCATAATAGGTACGATAATATTTCATGTGTAATCAAATAAGTAGGCGTGTAGGATTCTAGGAACCAAGTTCAACGAGGCCCTTTCACTTATTCGATTGTATCGTACTGAATGCGTATTATTGCCGTATTCAATAAACGCAAACATGCTGAACTGCAGTCTCCCTCTGCCCCTGCCGTGATAAGGATAACAATTTTGCCTTCACACAAAAGTATTGGTAAAATCACAGATAAAATACCCATTTATCTGTGGCAAAATTAAAATTAGGTACCTACATATTTTATATTGATAATGATAGGTACCTGATGTAAGTGAAAAAGGGCGGTTATTTGGGTAGGTAGTAGAGTAGTAGTATATTGTAATAATTTTTGCTTTTGGCCAGGTACGTGAACCAAACATTCGAAAATGGAGTTTCTAAAACCGGGGGAAGTATCACAATGTTTATACAATCAAAATGATAAACAAAGTCCACATCCCAAACTTAATAAGTAAGTACATATGTATTTCATTATATAGACATTAGACTTAGACTAGAATGTAATGGTACCCTGCGTCAGGCGTCTTCACTAAGGTCGGTGACCCTAAACTCAATATCTCAATAGCTAATCCAGTGGCGCATCGAGTTTGGATTTGATAGGGGTTACATAACGGGTTGGTGTTTTTATAATTCAATGTGTTAAGTTTCAAAAGTATAGTGGGTAGGAATAGGTACATCGAAACTGTTATGTAATTAATACCCTAATCCTTCACTCATCGGTAATAATGCCCAAAATAGTTTGGATCCGAGGTAAGGGGGAACAAAAATAAAATCATATGAACGAACCTCGATACTTTCCCATAAACCACTCTTTAAATGGAAATAACCTAAAGTTCACGTACAGGTTGAAACAAACGAACCCAACCCCTTCCTCTTCACCTGAGGACTCAAAAACTGCGATAAGCCGTGCGTAGTGTACGTGTTTTATGATTATTTCTTAACCCCATCAGTAAACCGCCCCTATTCGCTATTCAGCATATGAAGGCGAATGAATACAGGGTGTGCCACGACGAATGCCGGCGCTCTATATCTCGAAAATATAAGACCTCACAATATTTTGTGAATTTTAAAATATAGGTACTAGTGTTACAGATTAACTACTAATGTGGATAACAGGAACGCGTCTAAAATATTTTGAAGTTAGTGACACTTCCGGTCATACGGGAAGTTGATTCCAACTTGTTTATTTTAAATGGAAATGTTACGTAGAATCAAAAAGTAAAATAATATATAGGGTGTTCCGTAGCCGCCTTTGTGGGGCACCCTGTACTAGTCTAAAAGATGGTATAACTTTCGATTTGTTCAATAAATATACTCAGCGGTCATCTGTAGATATTTTCAGGGAACACCTAGCGGCTGATGCAGTGTCAATAATCCACAATCAGCCGCTGGCAGTCACACTACTGTACATCGTACAGTCCGTACAGATTAAAAACAATACACCGACAAATGTAAAAGTTGTAATAATCCATTTGTTTACATGTGATTTCAATTTGCTTTTGTGCGAAAACAAAAAAAAACCAACAAAAAAAACAACAATCTAAACAAACAAATAAGAAATGCAAGTCTGCGCATTCGTCATTATTTTAAGTCTTTTAGTCTACGACGGACACACAGTCTATTTTTATGAAAGAGTGCACGTTATATACTTTTTGGTTTAATTTATTTCCGGCCCATTAGTACTTAAAACACAAGTCGGCCAGGTCATTCAGAATTGTGACTCCTTGCCGGTATACTCTTAATCTATTAATGGTTTCTGTGGCCTACAATTACAAAGAGCATTATTATGTCTATGTATTCAAATACTTATTCATGGGAAATGAGTATCTAAGTGTTAGAGACGTGAAAACATTCTTTTGGTACAAGTCTAAAGGTAGGTTAAGTTAAGGAATGAAAACGATCACTATTCGTTTAATTACTCGTTACTGAATCGCGATAAATTTATTATATCCCAATCCGGCTTGAAAGACCATTTTTAATGTACGAAACTTATTGTTCGCAATTAAAGAAGTATTTTTAAACTTATTTATTTCTGACTGATTCTGACCGTACTGGTCGACGGTTACACGAATAGTGATCGTTTTCATCCCTTTACTTAACCTACCTTAAACTTGTATGATGTATGTAAGAATGTTTGCACGTCGCTAACTGTAGTTAAGTATAGGTAAATGCTTCCAAAATGAAAACCAAAAATACAGGCTAGCACTTATAAATGAGACTATTACTCCACTAATTCGTTACTGAAAATTACAAACATAATTTAATTTATTTATTTTCACATTAAATCACACATTCGGCTTGCCCAAATTGCACAAGAATTTAAATTTACTAGGTTCGTAAACACACGTGACTAAATTTAAAAATAATTACAAACACCTTAAATCTAATATTATACCCTAACTTCAATGTTAATCAGCACACGCGAAAAAAATAAAAACAAGATACGAAGAATCGCATAGGTACGATTTTCAGTAGGGGAATTTTGTGCCACTCCGCTCGTATTCGAAAACCAAACTGTTGATACGTCTCATATTCAATAGCACTGATCCTTGAACTCATAAAAATTATCGATTGGCGAACTTTTGACATCGCTATTCGTTTTCTAGTTAGACGAGGAACAGACGGACAAAACCACCACATAAAAAAACATTCCAAAAACTGGTCCCCTACTGCTCTATATTAGTTTTGATAGTAGAAAGATTCACCTCGGCAAATTCTCCCCCGAGAAAACTCGCCCCACGGTAATATCACCCCCGGAAGATTCACCCCTACAATATTCGCCCCCGGAGAATTTGCCCCTATAAGATACATTTATAAAACTTCAATTCCGGAAGATTCGCTCCCGGAATATTGAAATGGGAAGATTCCCCAAACATATTTCTCACCGGTAAGATTCGTCCTTATGAATATTCACCGTTAAAATATTTACCGAAAAGAATATTCGTACATGAAGGATTCGCCCTTGCCGACAAGTCGCTCTAGAAGACTGGTCATCCGAAGGATCGCCAGACTATATTTATCCCAAGTAAAATTCGGTCACGCTCACGAATTCCCTTTGTTTTTAAGTGGGCGGGGTTTTAAACAAGGCTGCTGTACCAACCTAACCCATTATCATTTACAAATAGCTATGCCCGAACAGGATTCGAACCAAGGACCTTCAGTATCGCAGTTGAGCGTCCACTCCTCTGCGCCACATGGGACAGCATCATAAAATAACTACTTATGCGCGATTATACAAGCTTTCATAATTCATACAACAAACATAAGTTTTCTGTTGTTGTAGAAGTACATATTTTGTTATGGTAATACTGTAATATGTATCTACTGTTGCTAAAAAAAAACCCATTTCATATTTCAATAATTTCAGGAAGCCTTTCCAGAAGATTATACCAAATATTCTTCATGCTATTGGTAACACCCCGATGATTAGATTGAACCATATACCGCAATCATTTGGTATTAAATGTGAAATTTGTAAGTATAGATTGCATTCCCTCATGTTACGCGCCAAATAATATCTAGTTCTTCCTTTATGGTAACTCAACGGCATTTCGAATATGCATAGGTGGCGAAAATGTTTGTATGTCTAAATTTTAGTTGCCAAGTGTGAGTTTTTCAATCCTGGAGGTTCAGTAAAGGATAGAATTGCAATTGCAATGATTGAAGACGCGGAAAGCAGAGGACTGCTTAAATCAACCAGTACGATAATAGAACCAACTTCAGGAAATGCGGGTATTGGGTTGGCGGTAGCTTGTGCTGTCAAAGGTAAATACACCTATATCTACCATTTGCTAAAATTTGTAAAAAATGTAACGAGTTGGTCAGAATGCCATGACATGTTACCAGGTAAGACCGAATCCAGAAGGAAATGGGATCTACAGTCGGATTTTCCGACTTATGTGCCTTATCATTGATGTGGTAATATTAATAGATCCCCATCCCTTCCTGGGGACGGGCCTGTACAACAAGTCACTAATTTTGCAGGCTATAAATGCATTTGCGTCATGCCAGACAAAACCTCCATGGAAAAAGAAAACATACTAACATCCTTAGGTGCAAAAGTGATTCGAACCCCAGACACTTCGGTGGACGACCCAGACGGTGTTTTCCATATTTCCAGAAAACTGGCAGCTTCTATACCTGATTCAATTATCCTTCAGCAATTTAAAAATCCCATAAATCCTTTGGCGCATTACCACATAACCGCCATGGAAATATTTGACCAATGCGATGGCGAAATCGACATGATCGTAAGTTTTTGCGCTGGAAAAAATTTTTGATAAAGTTTCGGTAGGTTATTGGTGTAGGATCAGGGGGTACGATGACTGGAGTTGGACGAAAAATTAAAGAGTTACTCCCTAACTGTACTATTGTCGGCGTGGATCCCGTCGGCTCATTTATCGCCGAACCACCTATTTTAAACGAAACAACATTAAAGTACACCGAGGTTGAGGGAATAGGTCACGATTATTATCCCAAAACTCTGGATAAATCGGTGGTGGACTACTGGATTAAAGTTACAGATAAAGAATCGCTACATATGGCTCGAAAATTACATAGGGAGGAAGGAATCTTGTGTGGTAAGTATTTATGTAGGTATTGGACACATTTTGAGTTACAAATCAATAAAAGGATCTAGTACCGGTTCTTTAATGAGTGGAGCATTGGAAGCGGCTCGGAATTTGAAAGAGGGACAGAAGTGCGTTGTAATGTTTCCTGATGGTGTTGGCAACTACTTGACTAAGTTCGTGTCTGATTATTGGATGGAGTCAAAAGACTTCCTACCTCGTCCAAACATTTTTAAACATTGGTAAATTGTTAACGAAATTCATTTCAATGTAATTTACTGGTGTAATTAGGTGGTGGGATATTACAGTATCAAATTTATCTCTAGCGAGAACTGAGACCATCTCTTTAAACATGACTTGTGGTGAACTATCTAGTATGTTGTACTCTCAAGGAGTGGATGTACTTCCTTGCGTTGACCAAAACAGGTAAGTGACAAAGTAAAATCTAAAGCAGAGCTAAACTGTCATCTATCTATTGTAAATTGCTTTCAGGATTAGGTATCGCTATCTGAATTTAGCAATGGTTACTATTTTTGTTCTAGAATACTTCAAGGGATCATATATGCAAAAGATGTAACGTGTAAACTACTTAACGCTTCTATCACTTTGGGTGATCCAGTCCGAAGGGTCCTTTCTCAAAAGTACAGAAAAATAACGGTCAATTCATCTTTAGGGGAATTATCGCATATACTTGAGAGAGAATTAGTCGCCGTTATTGTAGAAGAAAACGGTAAGTATTACAAATTACAAGTACTGTGGAGGATGAATGAAGCACTTACTTATTAAAATCATGCTTCGTTCGTTTTCGAGTTGCACTTATTAAAATGTTTACGCTGTCAATTTTCTAGAGCCATCACAACCAATCATTTTTAAAGGATTCGTTTTTGCAAGTAATCTGGTGCAGTATATAACGGAAAATAGCATCGAATAAGTATTACGCCATTCTTTTTCATCTGCCTGAATGTTCAACAGAGATAAAAGTTTAAAATAAACTAAAATTGGTCTCTATGAAGTTTATTTAAAATGTCTATGTCAGCGCTTCTAATAATATACCTACCTATTTTTTGAAGTGACTATATGTTTTGGACGGGAGTAAAATCATCTCATGGTAGTATATAGCTCTGTTCTGTGGTCCTCATGCGTAGCGCTCGGTAGCCGTAAGCGAATTCGGTCACAGCCCGCTCACCACTAGCGGATAATGGCCCGTGTTGCTTTGATGTTATCGATGGTGTAGCCGTAAATGTTCCAGTCTGGGAAGGGGTTATGAAAAATAAACCGATACAACGAAATACCGAAGGATCCTCAGTATTACATTTTGGTATTACCATCATTACGGACGGACGACAGTACAAAACTATAAAGCCTCTGAGGGTGAGGATCCTTAATAATCACATTTGGCAATTATTTTGTTTGGTATTTCGGTAAACATGTTTTTTTTCATATATTTATTGCTTCCATGTTAAGTACTTGAATTTTGCTGCCGCGTATACTCGGTATAATTTTTGTTTGTACAATTTATTTCTCTACACAACCAAAGAATAAGTTTCTCTTGGACACAACACGGCCATCAGCCGTCCATACGGTGTTCACTTCGCTACGACAATACCATTTTTTTCGGACGTCGTGGTCGTCAAAAACTAAAAAGTCATCGTCATAGAAAAAGGTATATATAATACAACCAAGACATCAGTGTCGGTTATTCTGGCGGGATCAGTACAGTACAGTACAATACAGAGCATATATTACCACCGTAGGTACATCTTCACCCATTCCTGTCAGTTTTTGGCGTATTTTAGACATATAAAACATTCGTGGATTGGAAGGATGTTTTATTAAAGTGGAAATAATCGTCCCTAAACAGGAGTGCTAAAAGACTACAGCATTGGTGCCAATAAGCACCTGCAAATCAAGTATGTACTACTTACATTTAAACAATCTATTTGCAGGCTCCATTTCCGAATAAATATATCGAGATACTTGTGTACTTATAGGAGTTACTCTGAAGGGCGAATCTATGTAAAATATTTTCAAAATGGTCGCACTTCCGGATATACCGGAAGTAGCTAGTAACTACGTCATTTTAAATGGCAACCATTGGTTTCTTTTAGTATACTTAAAAAAAGGTAAGTTGCATACACCGCACCTATTTAAAAACTTCAAAGATTAAAAACTGGGTTTTTTTTTAAATGAAATTGCCATTTTCTTATTATTGCATTAGATACCTAGAGAAGCGAAATTGGCATATTTTGATAAGTAGCTATATTTAACTAACAGTTTCTGAATTATTCCCATTTAATTAAATTGATACCATTTTTTCCGGATTTTCTTTTGAGTAGTCGGCCATGATTTTATGACAATTGAATTTTCAACAAATCAAGGAAAGGATTCTTTAATTAATATCATTGATTCTAATCTAAATAAATAATTAATAAACAAGATAACAAGGAGATCAAAATTAGCGCCTTCGTGTTTCAAACAATTCAATACGTTTTCCCGTAGAGTTTTGTATTACTTGTGATTTAATCGTTTGTAGTGAATTGTTTACTCTCTCTAGATCATGTCTTCTCTTGTTGTGGAAGGCCCCGGCATAGACTGTGTCTTTTACATATCCCCATAAAAAGAAATCTGAGAGGGAAAGGTCCCGGGAATGAACAGACCTTAGGTTTCCGATTCAATTCCCTGGAAAAATGTAAAAACACGGAAATTATGCCTGCATTATGTGTAGGTGCACCATCTTGTTGACATAGCAACATATTCCTTGCTGTTCAACAACAATACCTATTACTATGTCCAGGCAACGAATGAATATGCCCGGTATGGTTGGAAGCGGAAGGTTTGACTTCAGAACCTTGTTTGGATCCCTTAGGAGGTAACCATACTCAAAGTCCCCAGGATTCCGACTGGAGCCTTCCCGGGGGGAGGGGCGCAAAGGTCAACATTTTCTGTTTTTCGCTGATATCTTGAAAAGGGTGCGTCTAGGAAAAAATTGTTTAAGAGCAAAATCAAAACTCATAAAATTGTCTACAATTTTGATTGTATACACTTTTTCGAAATTCCCAACCGTTTCCGCGATATAAGCTCCAGAAGGCCGGAAATTTTTGAAAAATTGTTTTTACGTCAAACATTCCTTATATCCTGTGAACCGATTATCTGAGAAAAAAGCCGCCGACGAAAAAGTTGTAAAACATTAAATTTCCTTTCCGAAAATATGGCTCCTTTCCAAATTGTCGTAACCAGTCAAAAGTTACAGCAGTTTTAAGATTTCCTGAAATTTTTCATCATCTTCTATATGCAACAATTTCAATGATTTGTCACCTACGCTCTTGCTATTTTCCAGAATTTCGACATCGTATATGTCCTCTTCGCCCTCTTCCTCTTCCTGGAGAGGTCTCCCATTCAAACAATTTCCGTGGCAATTGTGGCAGATGGTTGAGCATCGCATGGAGGTCTTTTTGTACCCACATCTCGCAGAACTGCAGTCTGTCGTGCATCTGCAGAAAATACAGTTGAGTATTTCTTCCGGTGCAGCTGGATCGGTTGTGAGGACTGGTATCAGGTGGTTGTTGTGATCCCTTTCCCAGCCCCATTGGTGCATATTAAATACAACTACTATCGGTCGCGTTATGAACTGCTTTTGATTTACGATTTATGGCCTTAAATGACTTACATTGCTAAGCGTACAGACTTTACCTCGCCTTGACCTCACCTCAAGTAATAATCTTCGATTTTTTGTCTAAATTACCCACTTGGATGCCTATTTATTATCCTTATATCATAAATGGAAGTTAAAATGGAAAATAGCAGGTGCGTAGGTGAGAAATCATTGAAATTGTTGCATATAGAAGATGACGAAAAATTTCAGGAAATTTTAAAACTGCTGTAACTTTTGACCGGTTAAACGATAATTTGGGAAGGAGCGATATTTTCGGAAAGGAAATTTAATGCTCTACAACTTTTTCGAAGGCGGATTTTTTCTCAGATCATCGGTTCACAGGACATAAAGGAATGTTTGATGAAAAACGTGAGGTAAAAACCGATTTTTCAAAAATTTCCGACCTTCCGGAGCGTATATCGCGGAAACGGTTGGGAATTTCGAAAAAGTGTATACAATCATTGTATCAATGACAATTGTAGACAATTTTATGGGCTTTGATTTTGCTCTTAAACAATTTTTTCCTAGACGCACCGTTTTCAAGATATCAGCGAAAAACAGAAAATGTTGACCTTTGCGCCCCTCCCCCCGGGAAGGCTTCAGTAGGAATCCTGGGGACTTTGAGTATGGTTACCTCATAAGGGGTCCAAACAAGGTCCTGAAGTCAAAACCTTCCGCTTCCAGCCATACCGGGCACACCCCCCTTTTAGCACTCGTTGCCTGGACTATA